ATTTGTTTTGAATTCTGAAAAGTGAAATCACAATAGAAGGAAGAATGCATATGGCACGGTATTCAATTTTTACCATTTGAAGGATGCTCTTAAAATATCTCTTAATCTCAGGTCACTTCAGCCTGGCAATCTGATGGCTGAATCAACAGTCTCTGATATTAGCTAATGATTAATTCTTGTCTGCATCATATCTCTATGAAAAAATTGTCACATCATCCCTTAGAGACATCATCTTAAAATAGAATGAAAATCACCTAATAAAACAATGTGCAAAATGCAATCTTGGGCATTCTCCACCTTTAAGACGTGTTTCGGTGATGCATTTGACAACTTACACCAATCAGCATAGCAGTGAAATTTTTTTTCCATCAGGGAAAAGGACTTTCATTCTACCCTGAATTTAAAACAAACTCTACAGTTCATGGAGTTCCGTGAACTATTAATTTAATAGGTAAGAACTAACTCTCAGATGTTTCATACTATTTAAAGTGAAAGATTCATTTACCTCTGAGCTACACTCGGAAAACTTCATATAGTAAGTTTCCTCAACTTAAATGAACTAAGAAGATTACTGAAAGTCAATTTGCTTTCCTACTTCGAAATTTTTGTTTTCTGAGATGAAGAAAATGAGTGTAATTTTCCATAAATGTATGGATTCAACTATATGAAGGCAAGCACCAATAATACGTCTTAATGAAAACACGGGAAGCTATTGCTGGCATCCTCTACTGCTCCACTCGGAAACCTAAAGGCTCCTCCTGCTATCCCATATTTCATGAAGCAGACTACTTGGTTTCTGTGACCTATATTTAGAACAAAAGCAGTAAATGCCATCTGGGATGAGTTGTAAAACCACAGTAGGTGTGCTGGAATTGTACAATTTTTAAGGAGACATTGGGTTTTTTATCCTATCTTTGGACTTCAGGCGGAGATTTTTCATTTCCCTTTATCAGGAAAGACCTGCAGGGTGCAGCAGAGAGCGCTGGTGAAACTAAATTTCCAAAAGTTAAGTATTAGCTGACAGTTCAGCCCATAGGTTATGGAGGCAGACAGACCTCAGTTTGGAGTGAGCCTGCCACTTACTAGCAGATACTAAACCTCCCTAAGTCTCAGTTCCTCCACCTGTGAAATGGGATAAAAATATTACCAAGAGCATAATAAAAAATATGTATATGCATTTATAATATTTCATCTCTTTCTAGAAATTCATGGTGCTATGTCTAGTTTCATTCACCACTTGTCAGAGTGCCTTTAATTTAGCAAATACTCAAGAAATAGCAGTAATTATTGATGTTACTATTATAATTATTGGCAAGAAATACCAATATTAGCCCAGCAGTTAAAAGCTCAGTCTCCAAAGCTAGACTTTCAGGGTTTAAATGTAACTTCTACCCTTCCCTAGTGATCTTAGGTATTACTAAGCCTCTGTGATGTCAGTTTCCTTTTCTATAAAATGAAGATGAGATAGCACTTAATTCATAAGGTTTTCAAAAGGATTAAATAAATTAGTACCTAAAATGTGCTTTGATTTTCAAAAATGGTGCTGGAACAACTGGACATCCACATGCCAAAAAAAAAAGTGAAGTTAGACATAGATCTTACAGTCTTCACAAAAATTAACTCAAAATGGACCACAGACCTAAGTGTAAGACACAAAACTATGAAACTCCTAGAAAATAACATAGAAGAAAATATAAATGACCGTGGGTTTAGTGATGACATTTTGGATAAAACAACAAAGCCACAATCCATGAAAGAAAAGCTGGACTTCAATAAAGTTGAAGTTTTATGCTCTGCAAAAGATATCATCAAGAGAATAAAAAGACAAACCACAGACTAGGAGAAAGTATTTGCAAAATACGTATCTTATAAAGGACTATTGTCCAAAATATTCAAAGAACTTTTAAACTCAACAAT